CCCCCCCATCAGGTAGGGTCACCCTGAGTCAGTGTGGACTACATGCCAGGGCGAGGGAGAGTTGTGGAGCTGATTTTACACGCAGACATGTGGTCTGTCGTCTCTGGCCATGCAGTCTGTCAGTTCCGACTGGGGCAGCCCAGGTGTCCTAGAGTAGCGGGTCCCCAGCATCATCCTCACAGAAGCCCTTTCTTCAACAGCGCCGCCAGGCCAAGAGCAACCCATTTGTCACAACCACCCAGGGACCGTATCATAAGAGGGGCTTCAGAAAAAGTCATGGAAAAGTAGAGTTCAAAGACAATGGAACTTTTCTATGAAGTTTTAAGCCCTACTGCACACCCCCCCATAAGAAATATACATATAGGCCATAATAAAAATAAATAATTTAACCTTTTTCTAAAATTAGAAAATCCTGATGCCCACCCATCTGAGGAGGTCCCAGGATTTGACCAGACAGATAGCCATGGGTGGAGGGGAAGCCCAGAAGAAGGAGGGAGCTGTGTGTTCCAGGTGTTGACTGTTCCGGATGATGACGGCAGGTTCCGGGGCATGTTCTCACTCTGAGCATCATGCCCCATCCCTATCCCCCATCTCCATGGCCCCCTCCACCTCCCTGAGCTACCACTCGGCAGCGCAAACTCAGCCCACCCAAGAGGCCTGCCCCGACTAACTGGCTCCTTGTCCAGGTCACAGTGCCTGACCCAAGGCTTCGCTTCCTGAAACAGCTGGGGTCAGAGACCACGGCACTCATCCACGGTGGTCACAGGCCCTCCAGTTCTGGGCACCTACATCTACACGAGGCGCTCAGCCTGTGTTGAGCGATTTGTCACCCATCAAGAGGGGCCTGAGTTCCCTCATTCCTGGGCTCAGGTGCACCTACGATGGCGCCGTCTTCTTTCCAGGTAGTGGCAGAGGGCAGCGGTCTCCACCATGCCTCTGAGCCCCCCACCTCCCCACACTGCCTTCCCGCTTCCCCGCCTTCGGGGTCTGGATTTCTTCATGTCCCGGTCTGAGGATATCCTCAGACGGGAATCTCCTTAGGGAAGAGAGTGTGTCCTCTGTCTCCCAGGACAGACTGATAAGACTATCTCTGGTCCCCCGGGGGTTTCTAGAATGTTCTGACTGAAGGGCTGCCTGGCCTCCAGCAGAAGCTCCTGAGCCTGCCCTCGGCTCGGGGAGGGTGACGGGTGGAGGCTGGCGGCCTGGGGCGAGGGGCTCTGAGGAGAAGGCCCTCACCTTCTCCGTGTCTTCCTTCTTCACAGACTTGAGGTTGGCCCGCAGGTCCATGGACACCTTGTGCTTGGAGCCCAGCAGGGCCCGGAGCATGGCGTCGGCGGAGACGCGGACCCGACGCAGGGGCGGGCGCTTGAACTTCCCTCGGAGGTCCATCACCTTCAGCTTCAGGTCCTTAATCTGCCAGGAGAAAAGACAAGGGCTCCCTGGGGAGGGGCCAGCCACAGGAGCCACCGCTCCAATCCTCCAGCCTCCAGGGCAGGCCCTTTGGGATCCCCGCATCCACCCCTGGCCTTCAACAGCCTGCGCTTGCGCAAGCTGAATGAACAGATGCCTGTGGAGATGGAGCCCCGCGGTCAGCCCCTCTCCCAGAGTTCAGAAGCCCCTCTGGAGCTTGCCACCATTTCGGCACAGCCTTGGTCTGGCCGGCCAAGTGGTTAAATTATCCCCAGGCCTCATCCCAGGTGAACGTCCACGGTGAAGTCTTTGGAGGGAATTCTGGGGACACCAGTGAACTCTGAGTGCATCCTGCCTCATAGGAAAGAGGCTCCTCATGGCCACAGCTGAAGACCAAAGCAAGAGCCCTGCCCGGCCCCACCTCACCCTGCCCACTGGAACACACAGCTCCCTGCCCAAGGGGGGAGGGGCGGTAAGCTCAAACTACTGCCACCGGTCCATACTGACTCACAACCAGCCTATCGGACCAGGGAGGACGGTCCGTGAGCTTCCAAGACTGTAACTCTTTCTGGGAATAGCAAGCCCTCTCTGTCTCCCTCGGAGCAGCTGGTGGATTCAAATTACTAACCTTGAGGTTAACGGCCCAACATGTAACCCACTACATCACCGGGACTCCTAAGCAACTGGAGTGGAAGTCAGAAAACCAGGCCCCCCACTCTGGGACCCACAGCAGGTTCCCTAGCCTCTCTGAGCCTCAGTATCCTCGTGGGCAACGCACAGCTAATCGAAGCAGGCACCGTGGGCACAGGTGCGCAGGGAGGATCAAAGTGGCGCTGCATGAAAGCGCTGTGC